ACTTCAAGGAAGGGGGCAGCCACAACTTCTCTGGGCAACCTGGTCCAGTGCCTCACCGCCTTCAGAGTGAAGAATTTCTTCGTTAGATCTAATCTAAATCTGCCCTCTTTCAGTTTAAAACTAAATATCAATGTTTAGAGACTTCAACGGCAACAAGAAAAAACTACCATAGCTACTTTGGTAATAAAAGCAGGACTAGGGAAAATGTGGGCCCTCTCTGGAAGGAAACAGGAGACCTGGTTATCTGGGATATGGAGAAGGCTGAGGTACTCAATGACTACTTTGCCTCAGGCTTTATCAACAAGTACTCTAGCCATGCCACTCAATCCACAGAATCGAAAGGCAGTGACTGGAAGAATGAAGAACCACCCACTGTAGAAGAAGATCAGATTCGAGATCATCTAAGGAACTTGAAGGTGCACAAGTCCATGGGACCTGATGAGAAGTATCTTCGGGTCCTGAGGAAACTGATGGATGAAGTTGTTAAATCATTATCCATCATATTTGAGAAGATGTGGCAGTCTGGTGAGGTTCCTATACATTGGAAAAGGGGAAACATAGCCCTAATTTTTAAAAAGGGAAATAAGGAAGGCCCAAGGAACTACAAGCTCGTCAGTCTGACCTCTGTGCCTGGCAAGATCATGGGCATTCTGGAAACTATGTTAAGGCACATGATAAAAAAGGAGATGATTGGTGACAGTCAATATGGCTTTACTAAGAGCAAATCATGACTGACAAATTTGGTGGCCATCTACGATGGGGTTACAGCATTGATGGATGAAGGAAGAGAAACTGACATCGTATACCTGGCCTAGTGCAAAGAATTTAATACTGTCCCAGACCACATCCTTGTCTCTAAAATGAAGAGACATGGATTTGACAGATTGACCACTCAGTGAATAAGGAATTAGCTGTATGATTGCACTCAAAGAGTTGTGGTCAATGGCTTGATGTCCAGGTAGAGATCAGTGATGAGCAGTGTTCCTCAGGGGTCTCTATAGGGACCAGCGTTGTTTAACATCTTTGTTGTTGACGACATAGACAGTGGGACTGAGTGCGCTCTACAAAGTTTGCTGACAACACCAAGATGTGTCATGCAGTCGACACGCTGGAGGGAAGGGATGCCATCCAGAGGCACCTTTACAGGCTGGAGAGGTGGGCCCATGCAAACCTCATGAAGTTCAACAAGGCCAAGTGCAAGGTCCAGCACATGGGTTGGAGCAATCACAAGCACAAATACAGGCTGGGCAGAGAATGGATTGAGAGCAGCCCTGAGGAGGATGACTTGGGGGTGATGGTTGATGAGAAGCTCAACATGAGCTAGCAACCCAGAAAGCCTATTGCATCCTGGGCTGTGTCCAAAGAAGCATAGCCAGCAGGTGAAGGGAGGTGATTGTCCGCCTCTACTCTGCTCTCATGAGACCCTGGAGTGGTGTTCAGCTCTGGGGCCTCCAGCACAACAAGGACATGGAGCTGTTGGAGAAAGTCTAGAGGAGGGCCACAAAGACGATCTGAGGGCTGGAGCACCTCTGCTATGAAAACAGGCTGAGAGAGTTGGACCTGTTCAGCCCGGAGTAGAAAAGACTCTGAGGAGACCTTACAACAGTCTTCCAGTACTTAAAGGGAGTCCACAAGAAAGCTGGAGAGGGACTTTTCACAAGGATGTGTACTGGTAGGGCAAGGGACAAAAACTAAACTGAAAGAGGGCAGATTTCTATTAGATCTAAGGAAGAAATTCTTCCCTCTGAGGGTGATGAGGTACTGGAACAGGTTGCCCAGAGAAGCTATGGCTGCCCTATCCCTGGAAGTGTTCAAGGCCAGGTTGGATGGAGCTTTGAGCAACCTGGTGTAGTGGAGGGTTTCCCTGCCCATGGCAGGGGGGTTGGAACTAGATGATCTTTGAGGTCCCTTCCCACACAAACCATTCTGATTCAAACTCTTTTCACAGGAAATATAAACAGATTCTGTGGTTTGTCAGGAGTTATTTTTGTGGAGCTAAAGAATAATTGCATTTTGCAACTCTTCTATGTCAATAAGAAAATAAAAAGGTTGGTTTTCCTCAAGTGTTCAGTCAAGCACAGAATAAGGAAATATGGGGGAAAACAGGAGCTTTCTGCACTGTGTAATGGGGAAGGTGTCTGCAGAGCTGTGACTGTTATCAGACAGCTCAATGAATAACCTTAACCAAAATCCTAAGACATATACGGACACAAGAACTTAGGGAACTTCTGCTTTGCCTTGAAGGGAAGTTCTTTTCACACTACTTTAATCGCTTTCGTAACCCAGGGAAAAAAGATTTTTTTCATTGCAGCTAAAAGTTTTTACTTGAAAAATGTCTAGAATATTGTCCTTGAGCAAAAATAAAATTAGTTTTTATTATTCTATAGGAAAACATTCTAATTGCAGGGCCTTTTCAACAACTAGGCCCATTTTAAATAAATAATTTTGTATTTGAAGGAGAAACCACACAATCTGTTATGACTTCATTTATATAAAAAAAACCCACTAAATAATCACAATAAACATTTGGACATGATCCAAAGGTTTGGATTTATTTTTTTTTTTTTATTTTCTACTTTGTCTTAAACACTTCTACTGGTAATCTTTTGAGTATGACCTAGCAGATGCTTTTTCAGACATCTCATTAGAAAGAGCTTTCACCTGCTGTTTCCTCAGATGAGGTGCCAGGATAGATCTGTGAATAAGATCTCTACTTTCACTTTAAAAAAAAGAATAAAAAAGAGAACATGAACACTCTTCTTTAAGACAGCTGTTTAGGAATAGGAAGAAGTCAGAGCTGAGGCCAGTAACAGATAACCAAGGAAGGAAAAAGCTCCTAGCTCAGCTCTTGACACTGCTGGTTAAGTCAGGAATCAAAAGCTTCTAGCAAGAGGATTTCCAAATCTTGCCAGGGAAGTTAAAGTAATTCTTTTTATAAAACACCATGCTTAAGAGATTAAATGAAGATCAACATATTGTGCCATTCCAGAGAGAAACAAAGTACAGTCTGGTTAGAACACCTGTAACATTTGTTGCAGGAGGAGCTACCGAAGAACAAAAGTCCCTAACAAAGAGCAATTTGATACTACTAAGTCCATCATTCTGGTGGTATTTTTCCCCCTACAAGCAATACAGATGTCTTCATTTCCACTTTCTCTTAATCTGCCCACATCCCATGCACATCATAGATGAGCTTTGAAGGCTGCATTACTGTTTTGTAGTATTACTGGCATAGTTGGTAGCCGTGGATAAATCACTCACCACAGCACCAGTGTGTAACAGAGATGTGGAAGATTACAGTACTTCTTGCATTCATATGAATTCTGTCAGTGAGTATGCCTACAAGTGTATGTTCCTTGTTTGTCATGCTTCCCTAAATCCTACTGATGCCTACTTCAGCAAATACAAAGTTTCAATAAAAGAAAGTAAGCCAGCAAGGAGCTACATATTTGTCATTTTTCACCAGTATCCTATTGTTTTGTCGTCTTTATACTTTTAAGTTTCAGGATTACACAATTGAAAACCTGAGGAGCAGACTCACGGCAACTGTCATCCAATTCTTTTTTCTGCTGCAGTTCACAAGTTACACTGCAAAGTATGTCACACAACTCCTTACGTCCCTCAAACATTAATATTACTATCTTCTACTGCTAATAAAATATATTAATATTTGTAAAATAAATTAAATACTATGATAGCAGCCATAATCATAACTGAGCAGCCAGTGAGCTACTGTAAGATTATTAATTTTTAAATAACTTATCCAAGAACTTAATTCTGCCTCATTTCAAAGTTACTGGAAAAACCTGTTGCTGTTTTAAAAGGGTTTGATTAGACCCCTCGTAAATTATTCCCATGCACCAACATTTTCAGAATTGTATGTTCAACCAATGGCCACAGAAAAGTTCTTGTGCAGACATTAGTATACATACACATCTCTAAATATTAACTTTCTGTTGAGTAATGATTAATTCCATGTCCCTTGAAGTTTTTGCACTGGAGTACTATTTATAGAAATACATTTTTAGGGACCAGGCTTTTCTCCTTTAGAGTGTAGCATAACCCACTGTAAGCAGTACAAATACCAGAAACATTACTAATTTTTAAATTTCTGAAATAACTTTACAACAATTATCTTAATATCCGAGTATTCAAATGTAATTTTCAATTAAGCGTGTGAATTTTCTCAAAAAGAGAGAGGGCATGCACGCATGCAGGAGAGAGTGTAGGAGACCTAATTAATAGAATGGAATTCAAACACAAATTCCTTCAATTTGTGTTTGAATTCTGCCCAGCTCTTACAGATGCAACTTCTTAGAGATTTAGAACTTCAAATGTTGAAGTTCCACAGTTCATGTAGTATTCAGGACACAAGCTTAAGAATGATGGTACCATTTACAAAAAAAAAAAAAAAAAAGAGACACAGACATCAGCAATTTAATAGCACTTCTGACTTAGAGAAAAGTTTATTTGAGAATAAACTGGAAGGAGGGTGTTCTGTTACACAATTTCTTTCCAGCGAAATCAAATTCTACCACTGCTAGCATCACAGAACATCTTCAGGTTTGACACAACCATGACAGATCAGTTGGAAAGTCACTCAGTGGCACTAGCTTTGGACAACAACAAATAGTTCAGTTATATTACAGAAAACAGATTATAAGCATGATTTCAACAAGCTGCAACTGCATTGCAGCTGTAAGAATGTGAACAAAGTGCCACATTAACTCTCTTTTTAGAAAAATTTATCATAAAACAAACTTCAGACATTCTGGTTACCAGCAGCATTCTGCTAAGAAAAAAAGGCTCTACATTTCTCTAACTTAACAGTTTGAAAGTTTAAGCTATTTTCTATCTAAACCTAAAGAGTTTAGAAAGTCTTGCACCCTCTTTCTAAATAAGAATATATAATATAGATAGTATTCTACATATAATTGTTTTCACATTGCAATTAAACAGGTAAATTTTTTATTTTGGTAGCAAAGAATTAATTTCAGACTCTAGTTTGAAGCTTCTGTAGCACTGTGATCAGAATATGCTGAATCACGATCAGACAGGACGGAAACATTGGCAAAAGCTTCTTCAGAAAGCATGGATTCAAGCACGCGACGACAAATTGGGCATGTTCCCGACTGAAAAAGAAAGCAACAAACAACGGGTCATTTGCACAGTTTGCTTTCAATCCTACCGAAAAGCTAAATTTTATTATTTATGAAGCATTTAGTGTCTTCACAATAGCACTGTATCAAAGTCAAATTTGACTGGACGGCTACCTGGACCTAAGAGAGATGATCTCAGAAGAAAGCTTTTACATCAGTTACACAGCAGATGCATTAGGCTCTCTACAAGGTCTTCTTCAAAGAATTGATCTTACAGGGGGGAATGTTTTCTTGAGGCAAGGATTAAAAATAAACTAGGTACAGCCTAAATCTAGCAGGAAGTATTCCGTCCTAGTTTTCAGCAAGAGCAGTTTACTATGACAGCAGAAAAAGGCAAGACATACAATAGAGGCAATATCAATGTGGTAATCAACACTGTCATGGTAAAAAAAAAAAAAATAAAAAATCATAAACCCACTAACAACCCATGCTAGAGATGTTCTGATCTGATTTCCCCAGTCTGCATCAATTAATCTTCCTCTTGTAACTCTTGAGGAAATGATGTGTTATGCTGTAGGCTTACTGAGAACTAGCAAGTCCCGGCTCACATTGTACATAAAGTAGAGCGCAAGTGCAAGAAAAACAAAACAAAACAAAACAATTAATTAATTAAAGTTCTTTTAGTCTTGCCTGAATGTGATGTAATCCTTTAAGACAGATGGAAGGAAACTGACTACATACTATGAAAATGAAATCTAACACAATATAGATTTAACAAAAGTAAATTTCAGAACTTAATCTACAAGCATTCCAGTATTTCTGTATTTCTCCTGTCAGCCTTAGCTGTCACCACAAACAGGCCTGACACACTGGCAAGACAGATGAGATCCTTCTCTCTTCTCAGAGAAAACCAAGTCATCTTCTTTACTTCAGGCTATGAGTACAGTAAAGAAAGCTTTTCTTGTACTACACTAAGTTATAACTCATCTACCTCTTTCATTCTCACTAAAAGTAGACCATGTTTTTCCTCTCAAAAATATCCCTTCTATTCAAGAAATTGCCCTTCAGGCGAGTACAGATACAAATTACTTTCCTCACTTGCACAGGAATTTGGTTCCATAACGCATAAAATTAACAGCCAGTTATTTCTTGGTATTTTATTCCACATTTTCAAGAAGTTACAAACTGTTCTTCGCAGAAGAATGTAAATAGCCAAAAAACCTCACAAAAACTCCACCAATCCTGTAGTACTTACTTCCTTTAACCAAAGAGTTACACAGCATCTGTGAAACAAATGATGACAGGGTAGCTCTGTTATGATTTCATCTTCCGTGTATTCACTGCGACAGATAGTACAAGACTGACCTAGACCAGGATGAAGAAAAAGCATTATTATTATTATGTTGTTGTTTTACATCTAAAACGAGCTGAAATTAAAATACATATATTATCAACAGTATCACTAATGATTGCAAAATACAATCACACTTAATCCAGTAAAGATTAGTTTTCAAAACTGACCAAATTTATATTCAATCTGATTGAAGATTCAAAAGCTCTTAGAACAGCATTGCCATTTGCATAGTAAGTATGTTTAAATACTGCATCTATGGTATTACAGAAAGCTAAATGTGTTCTTATAAACTTTGTGGAAACTAATTCTTAATTATTTTCCCATACCTTTGTGGTCACTTGTGACGGCAATCTGTGGCAGATTATCTATGGTTTCTTTAGCAGCTGGTAACTGAACCTCTTCAGCAACTGACTCGAGAGAGCCAAGATGTTCCACGCTTCTCTGAAAAGGTTAAGCAGAGACCAAGTTCTCTTCCTTGCAAATGTAATAATGAATATGAAAACAAATAAGCAAGAAAAGGAATCTGATTCTAATAGCATTACTTTCTTAAATGGAAGTTATGTCTATCAGACTAACCATTACATAGTTTTTATTTTCATAACGAACGAGATGAAACTGAAGGTGAAAACAGCAACAGTTTTTTAAGCCTTCTTAAAAAATCAGGACAGAGTCACAACTTATTCTCTAACGAACATTCATTCATTTTATAAAGTTTCAGAAAAGGCAGCAAGTCAAAAGTGTAATAAAGCTTGCTAATACAAAACTATCACTGTATTTTGCTTTCTGAAAATAAAACCCTCATTAATGTGTTTCTTGGCTTCAACCACTGAATTAACTCAGGTACAAACAGAATATGAAGTACCTCAGCTGCACTAGCAATGTAAGCTTTCAGGGGAAAAATAAAAAAAAAAAAAGGGGGGGTCCACATAGATGTTTCTCATTTGTATCATGACAGAAGACAGACACAGTGCTCTGAAGTCATCTTGTTTGAAACAAATTTTTCACTATTTCACTAAGACTTTGATGCTAGAGCAGGCAGATTTGATGTTTACACCACACATTCAACCCTATAAGGCACTCAAAGGATCTCAGGATAAGAAAAATGCAACACAGAGCTCAGACTGGTCATATTCACTAAGAAATGTACTAGACGTAACTGTTCGAACAGCAGGACAAACTGAAGCGACAAGAACACAGAAGCACTGAGTTCGTATCCTGAATGAACTAGTCACATCTCTCAAGTACAACTACTTAATGCTCTAATTGGCATAAAAATTACTTATTTTAATGGCCAAAAAAACCCTTAGTAAGAAGTTTAAGATAAACTGACGTTTTTGTAATATTGGGGGTACACTTAACTAAAAGGCCAAAAGTATACTAGGGAAACATTGGATTATACACAAACATCTTCAGCAGTCTTTCCTCTTAAACTTTAAAGGAAGTTACTAGAGCTGCAGCCTCAAAACATGCCTGCGCTTTTATCACAGTGGGAAGGTAGCTCAGGCAATCATCCTGCCGTAGATTTAGACGGGCAGGTTTACACCTACAGTCAAATCTGTGTGGCAGCAGAGATCAGCATGAGCTAACAGACAAATGTTTACAGTTCCTACTGCCACACATATTCTCATCCAGGTATCAGCTAATTTAAAGGAAATCCTGGGACAGTTATCCCTAGTGCAGTAGGCAAGTCCACCTGCAAAACAGGCACACTTCTCCAATTTAACAGCTTAAAAACATTCAATTCTGCTACAACAAACAACACTGCCTTTTTATCACTAAGTTGATTTTAGTATTTGTAATGGTACATTGCTATAGCTGCAATGGTCTGAGAACAACTTGTACATAAAAATACTAAGTAATTAGATTAACTACTACAGCTGGAAAAATTAGACAAGATTCCAGGCAGATAGAAGAACACGGTATTGCCTATGTGACAAATCTGTCTATATCCAGCATTAGTATTCTCAAGCACAAAACAATTTACAAAAGCATTGTATTCTTTGCTTTTGAAAGCTACACAAAAGAAACATCACAGACAGAAAGCCTCACATGAACCCCGAAGCTTAAAACTACACCTTCAAAATCAAAGCAGAGCAAAGAAATACCTGTTTTACAACTTTTATAAGATATCTTTATGACTTCAAAGATACTTTTATTTTCCTTCTCTTATTACTTATAACTCTTATAACTGCTTACTGCTCCATGTATCATAAACCAAATGCTGGACACTGCTAAAACCCAGAAGCGCTATAACCTGCAGGGGTTTCTCCTTCTCATATCTGTGAATCAGCACAGGAAATACCCATAAATGAAGTCACTGACACTGCAGAAACACTCAACCTGTTCTATACTTCTAATGAAATAAAGCAAACACTTCCAGCTAAATAATTTCTTTAAAACAACAGGAAGAAAAAAAAAAAGCGCATATGCAGGTTATTACATTTTAGGATCTCAGAGTCTCATAGAACATAGCTTTTTTTAAAAAAAATATTTAATATATTCACTATCTCTCCCCTTCAAATGTCACAGTTAATTGGGACAGATCTTCCCCAACCCCACCCCCTCCAATTGAATTTTGGATGCATTATGTCACATCCCTTTCAAGTGTTTCATAGCTACAGTGAATTAGTTTGCTGGATAGAGAAATTTTTGGAACATTTTCTGAGCTATAATAGACTCTTATAATAAATCATGTTGTTATAAATGAAAAGGATATGGTTAATCTATCTACTATTTTAGATAAGAGAATTTTGGGAAACTTAGGACGTGAATTAAGTAAATCAGTAACAGGTTGAATAAAATCAGTCATTAGACAGATTATTAATGATGTTATAATTAAATGCAACCCAATCTGTTCATTAAATCACAATAATACTTAAAGCTAGCCAAAGCTCAGACGTCTTCGTTACAAAACCTCTGGTGCAAAAAATACTTAATACCAGGAAGTAAGCGGGTTACTTTTTAAACTTGAAGCAAAAGCAGAGGTATGTTGCACCCACAAGGTGGACTGGACTAAGTCCACAAACTGGACTAAGCAAGACTCAAGTAATAGCTGTTCGCCCTAAAGCCAGATCTAAATAATATTAAAATAGTGTAAGTGGCAAGCAGTAACCTGTTAGAAAGCTGAGTATAAATGCATAGATAATACGTAACTGCAAAGTGGCAAACTAGCTGGGGGTATAATTACTCAGACAAAGAAAATACGCATGCAGGCAATTAAGATCTGGAAGGTGAGAACAAAAAGTTGCAGAACAAACAGGAAAGGAATCTGGTAAAACTGAAATCTAATCATCCTGTGGAAAAATGTCTAGCAAAACCAGAACAAGTCCTGACCCCCCAAAGTAAGATGAACTATATCAAGAAAAGGTGAAATCACTCCCTTTACTCTTGGGGAGAGGGATGAGGAGCATAAAAATACCAGTCACGAAGACGACAGACTTTTCTCGCTTTCCCCAAAGAGCTCTCAAGCCTCGTCACCTTGACATTAGTTACTAAGATATCTCTCACAGTGATCTCTGACTCTCTAATTGATACATATATACAGCTGCAACAAACTACAGAACAAAATTTGTCGTATTATAAACATTTTCTATATACCCTATAAACAGAAAATCAGAAATTGCATTTTCTAGCAGAAAGCAAAGACATTTTCTGCAACCTCTCTTAGCCAAACTTGAAAAGTTAGTTCAGTTTGGTCTTTGCATCATGAAAGATACCAGTTTTTAAAACAAGATTTTTTTTTTTCTCCCTGAAAATGCTGTATGACACATTTTGGATATCTGAGCAAGCACTGTGATCATAGTACCAGAGATAAGCAAAAAGCTTTGTAACATTATGAGATGTTTAATATTTCAATGAAAGGCTTTACATTTTTAGATTTGTGGAATATGCTTCTACATCTTCATCTCCAATTGTCTGACAACCAGCGAAGTTGTGTTTTAAGGCTGTACATCCTTCCAGGAACACAAGTTTCTAGTCTATGTTAATCCAGTCCAGGACAGGGTCACGTCATATTTTATTAAGAGATTACACTGGACTAGCCATTTGCAAGTCCTGTTTTCTAGAAAGCAGAAAACATGATATCCTGATCCTGTCTACATCTTTCTTTTTTTTTAAAAAAAATATAGGATCTCAGCAAACAAAATATATTCTGGATAGATACACATTACAGAGCCTCTTGTTTTGCTCACTTTCTCTCAACTTCCACAGATATTTGCAATACTGCCAAAGAGAAATGTTGAACAATTCTGGACAATCCTTGCTCTTATTTTCTGAACAGTTTTAGTAACCATCTTTATACTGGAAAAAGGGGTATTCTATGTATTCTGCTTGAGATCTGGAGGAAATATTTTGAATTGTTACTCAAAACCCGTGTCACCCATTTAGTCACAGTTAATTCAGCTGTTTCTTTTATGACTCAGTTACCATTTTGTGCTGACTAATTCCAATTATGCCAGAATTCTATACCCAATGTAAAGTTTCAGACACTTCAGCGCTAAATTTCAAACACAAATACTATTTAAGAGAATTGGTTTCCTCTCTTGTCCAACATCCACAGTGACCTGACAGTTACTAAAATTGTTTAGAAAATAAGAATGAGCATTATCCAAAACTCTTCAATTTTTCTCTTAGCAATATTGCAAGTATTTCCGGAAGTCAAGAGCAAGTGAGTAAAAAATGCTCTGTAATGTCTATCTATCCAGAATAAATTTTAATCTTCCTGCTGGCCAAGTGTGTTCAATGGCACTCTGTTCCTGGTGGCACTAACATAATCATAGCATCTTCTCAGTCAGTCATACATGCAGCCACCTAGGATTGCTTTTACAGGTTGGCCCAACAATAGCGCACATGTAGCAGAGTAATTCGGGAAATGCTGTTACACAGTAACGATAAAGAAAAACTCAGAGCCATAACAACCTCAGTCTCCTCTTCAAGCGTTAACATATAGATGAAGAAAAGAGAAAAGATAAGATCAGTTTCTCCTCTCTACATAGATTCTTACTCTGGTTCAAAGGAGGAGGTCAACTGCTTCTGTAGTTCTGTCCCTTTTGATGTAGTGAGAACTGGCAGCTATGAAAGAGACAATGAATTTTCTCTTTACAGCTTCAAAATACCGCTTTATACTCCTACACATTAGTAAGCACTCTGAAGTGTTTCCAGATGAGTAATGCTAACAAGATCCTTCATAGCTGGAGAAGACCCTATGGGACTTGATCATGCATAACACTGACCTCTCATATACCTTGAGAGATGCACAATACCTGGAAACTGAACAACTGCCAACTTCAGGAAACAATCCTTCCACCCCCTCGGAAAATCCCCACAAAGTTTATTTGCAAAAATCATTGATTTTGCACATATCCATGTAAAAAGTTGTCTGTGATTGTTCCTCTGTCAGCTTTGGAAAGCATTTTGTCTGCAAGCACACTATGACATAGTCTGCCCTGTTCAGCCCTTTTAACTAAGAGCTAGTAGTCAAACTGCCCCTCGATGCCTCAAAACTTAAATTCAATGTTCTGTGTGTGGTGTAATTGTTGTAACACCATATTATATGTCTACACATCATTTAACTCTTATTTTGACAAATACCCTGCAGGGGAGATTTCTGGTAGTGCAAGAATTGTCGCATTGCAAAGTGAATTTCAGCTAGCTCCATCTTCACTCTGACAGTCATCAACATCATGTAACACAGAAAAGACAAAAATCATAACTGTGCTGGTTCTAGCTAACAAATTCTCTGGTTTCTCCAAAGTCAGACAGATGAAATGGGATTTGAATAAGTAAAGAAAAAAGACTTTTTTCCATTTGGGTGGTTTGTTTTTCATTTTGTCAGTGTTTTTTTTGTTTATTTAAAACACACGGAGTCAAGACAGTCAAACACAGAAAACTCTTCTAATGAGGAATGAAAACATGAGATATTCAATTGTACTCTTGCTAAAAAAAGAAAAGATGGGACAATTCACAGGCACAGATCCAGATATGAACTTTCCTTTGTTATGTAGGGAATTTGGCGACATTCTTTAGAAAAATTTAAATAGCATATGCTTAAATCGGTAGAATTAGTATCTTTTTATCCTTTAAGAGAAAATAAATACATATTCTAAAAGGAGTAGCACTGGTCAATGACAACTTATACTATATCATTTAAAAGACCTTCCAACATTTATTTTCAAGCTCGCACACTTGAAATTTCAAGCTAAAACAGGAAGGTAATTTATTCCCTGATTCTCCTGGTTTTCAGATGATGCTGAAAAAAGATTCAATAATAAAATCTTATGTCAAAACATCACTGATATAATACCACCAAGAACATTTTACTACCTGCATAGCTCCTTGTAACTGTTCTTGTAGTGTTACAGCTGAGAAAAGCCGAGAATCCGCAGGAAAACTGACTTGAATTTGTTCTGCACCATTAAACTCATTCAGTTGTCTGAAAAACATGAGTTAGGAAACATGGTCTTCATTTCAAAGTAAATAGTAATAACAGGAGGTCTGGGTGCATCACATTACTGCGCATCACCTGTTAACAACTGTGTGTGCACATACTGGCATGAGGTGGCCGTGTTGAGTCGACCTTGGCTGGCTGCCAGATACACACCCAGCTGCTCTTTCACTTTTCCACCTCAAACGGACAGGGGCATAAATAAGACTGAAAGCCCGTGGGTCAAGATAAAGACAGGGAGACCACTCACAGGCAAAACAGACTCAACTTAAGGGGCAACCTTAACATAACTGAAAGGTTGAAATAGGTGATCTTTTGAGAGCCTTTCCAATCTGGGCTGTTCTAAGATTCTATGAATTTATTGCCAATAAAAACAGATTTGGCTAGTGAGAAGCAAAGATAAAAACTAAAGCACCTTCCCCTTAGCCCTCCCTTTCTTCCCAGGCTTAACTCTTTCATTTCTGACTCCTCTATGACTCCCTACCCCAAGCAGGGCAGAGGGACTGGGAACAGGGGCTGTGGTCAATCCATGGCAGTTCCTCCCTGTCGCTTCTTCCCCCTCACACTGTTTCCCTGTTCCAGTGTGGGGCCCTTCCCAGAGGCTGCAGTTCTTCAGGATAAACTGGCTCCTGCGTAGGTCTTTTCCACAAGCTGCAGTTCTTTGCCAGCTGCTACAGAGAGGGCTTTTCACAGGCATGGTTCCTTCAGCAAATACCTACCTACTCCACTGTGGTCTTCTCCAGGGGGTGCAGGGGAACCTCTCCCCTAGCATTTGGAGCACCTCCTCTCCCTTCTCTGACCTTGATGTCTTGCAGGGTTGTTTCTCTCACATCCTAACTCACCCTCTGCTGTGCTTTCTTAAATCCTTTCCCAGAAGCACCAGCCTGCAGTGGGTCAGCTGGAGCCAGCTGTGTTGCACACGGGGCAGCCCTGGCCTCTCCTCACAGAGGCACCCTGCAGCCCCATTGCCAGCACCTGCTCCCAGTACAGTGGTGTGCTCAAGACAATATAGACTTCAGAACATGATGGGAGCTTTTCCTGTTGACTACTCCCAAGTAAAAGGGCATACAGTTCAGCTAATAAATTTTGTATGTATGCTATTAAGCTCATTTTACAACTAGCATTCAGATTTTGATTACATCATGTGTCACAGTGCATAGTTTGGCAGCTGCTTCGAGTTCTGTTTTCAACATTCAGGGATTAAATCTTCAAACAGTCACAAGCAAAGATCTGCATATGCACAGACAAAACTTAACAGACTATCACAGAAGCACCTTCCTTTATACTTTGAATAATTACAAAGCTTACCAAGGCTAGCCTCCAACACTTAAACAGTTTTTGTCCATGTCTCACAATTCCTTCGCTAGCCTGCTGCCTGGCATTGTAAGAACAAGTGCCTTTCTTCTAGCTTGGACTCTCATGCATGAGTCCCTGTTGTGCTTTTTTACAATAGAACTTCATAAGGGAAAAATACCAGTGGTTTTGGTATGTCTACATTGCAGTTTATGGTATTTTTAATAAGAAGAGAGCAAGTGTTAAGCCTTTTACTGGAAAGCATTCTGTCCAGCTTCCACTTACTTTAAAATAAGTGCATTACACTATTCTAGGATTAGGCTGTGCAAGTGGCTCTGAACATTTTCTTCCTGATATTCACAGAATTTTTGTAATAAATACATTGCAAAATTCTTCAGTAATCTAATAACAGAAAATTGAGTGAAGAATTCAAAACTGTGATAAAATTAGGTAAGCGCATGGCATTTCAAAAGAAATAAAATAAGCTTATAACATCTAACTTACACTAGTTGTAAAAGAGAAAGACCAATTATAAAATTTCTTTGACTTGAATGCTGATTACATTTGTATTGCTTTACTTTCGTTATACTCACACAATACTTACCATCTTCAAATTTAATTGAAAATCTACACCCATCCCTTGAATATTTAGCACACCACCGTTTCCTCAGATCACAGCCTGATTTAGCAAATTTATATCCTTTTTCTTTCATTAGAAGAAACATAGCACTTGAAGTACCTTAAGCCTTGAAACTCAGATTATCAGCCATTGATATAAGTGCATACTGATAGCCATGAGTATTTTTGGCATCTTCCACAAAAAGTAAAACAGTAACTACAAAACTTTTGAAATTCACACAGAAGACTATCAAAGGCGTACCTCCAGACCTCCTCCAGGATTTCATTCACATTGCAGTCATCCTCAGGGTTGTTATTTCCATCCAACTGGAGGAACCCAGGACATACTACGTCACTAACTGGATTATTTTCCTCACCACTTGCACTCTCTGCTTTACCATAGTAGAGAGACTGAGGAATCTCCTCTTCCTCCAATAATGTCTGTTCCCTTCAAATAAATAAATGAAGAGCTAAAACTGAAAATGTAGGAGAATTTACAAACACATGCAAGCAACAAAAGCTACACATATTACAAGGGCTACAGCCGCACGTTTCTCAGACTGCAAAGTCCCAGATTAGGAATTTAGTATTTGCTGTAAAAAAACCTAAGAAACTCACAGTGGTATCAGCTCCAGACTCAGAATCTAGTAACACCCATGATTCTGTGGCAAAATTATTTGTCTAATGCTCACAGCCAGCAGTACAGTAAGTAGCTTGCTTTGCATCTTCCCTAGTACAGGCAGTATCTCTGCCAGGGCTAGTAAGTTTGGTACTAAAGATTTTCATTATCATCTACATGGATCTAAAGCCACTAATAAGAAAGGCTCTCTTGACACTCTTGAACAGCCTTCATGGGAAAACTCGGCCTGAATGCCATGTGATATTTTTTGCAAGTGAAGGTATTAGCATAAGGAGAAAGACTCCTCTCATCCCTGGGTTTTCTAAAGGAGCATGAGTCTCCTGGATGTGTAGAGCCACAGGGCTGTGAGGCTCACTTTCCTTACCAAAGGAAAAAAAAACAGTAATCATGTTAGAAATGGGCACATTTGCAGGCTGTTCATATGAAAGAAAGCTAGTACACAAAGAGTATACAACTCCATTGCTGTTCTGAAACAATTTTCATAACACCACACTAATTCCCCAAACCTCAAGAGACAGTGATACTAAAAAAGCAGTAAGGGATTTGGACTGCTTGGTAATAGGTACTGTCTACTTCAGAGTGGAACTGGAGAGTGGAAAAAGCTGAAAGAACACTTAGGCACGACTTGTTGCTCTATGAAGACTCAAACTAAGAATATAAGGTTAATGTTAGATGTTTAGGAAAGAAAAAAAAAAACAAAACAAAACACAAACACACAAACCACTTTCCTTAGCTATTTATAGCTACGAATTTTGCCTTGCAACAAAGGCAGATACATTTTATGAAGTACAGTACTGTATGACTGGAAAAAACAGTAAGTTCCCAGCAAGCAAGTAGTTCAAATTTCCTTAAATCACTGATAGGGCTGCAGAAACAAACGGCGGCAGTGGCATATGACAAGCAATAAAGCTAAGAGCCACTGCTTCGCAAGGAGTACTTAAGCAGTATCAAAAGGTGTGTATATAACACACCTAATCTGTTCTTTTAAAGTCAGTATATCCAGCCCATTACCCTTATCGCCACTACATGTCAACCCCCTCGTTATTTCTGTATCTTTCATAAAATAGAATTGTTTGCATGACATGCCTTTTTTTCCCCAATTCGAAATACATGCAACTACTCAGATTATTTTGATAAAGACAAGTTATTATTGCTAGTACTGTAACTAGTTTTAGAACTGACATTATTCTGTGTAGTGCCATGTGGATACTGTGTGACCGCTGATGTCAGAACTTAGAGGAAGCCAGTTAATAAAACAAACCATACCCTTTTGGGAAACAGAAGTCTGTGTTCTCCTTTTCTACACCACTCCTGCTGCTCTGCACTCCAGACTCACACTCCATTCTGCTTGGGGCAGTCTCACGACTCTCATCACTTGAGGACTGGTCTCCTTCTGCAGCAGTAAAATAGCTAGTCACAGCTGTAAAACATTCTCCATTGCCATGTTCTGAGCTGCAATTTAAAGAAGGCAAGAGCGTGAATTTAATTACTGCTTTAGGAGAAAGAAAACAAACGCAAACGTTCTGTGATTTCCTACTTTTCTATAAACACTGCTATCAAGATAAACTATTTTTTCTGGGATAAATTAATTTTGTACTATTTACAGATGTGTTATAAGGCAAGTATACATAAAGAGCTGAACAGTTCCTAAGAAAGAATTCTGCCCATCCAACTCTGCAAAAAGATTTTGTTCTTCCCCCTCCACATTTGCAGAGTACACAAAACAATTCCGAATATAAACCCGGACCCACTATAGACATCTATCTTCTAGCACATAGAGAAAACAGCAGCAGTGACACTGAGAACACCAGTGTTTGGTTAACAAACAATAAGCAATCGTACCTCTCATCCAAACAAAACTTAAAGTAAAAGCTCTCATAATCTCTAAACTATTTACAATGATTTTTTTTTTAAACATACAAAGATACAATGGATGACTTACTGCAAATTCTATAACACACAGGCCCAAACAGATAAATGGCGTGGAGTTTTTCAACCAAAATTTGCTCAGCCACCACATACAAAAGGTTAATAAATAAGTTGTAGGCAGCTTTAATGAAACAGTGATGTTAGAATCTCAAGAAGGATGAATTTATCTACTGCTACCTTTGGTAATGACACTTTGAAGGTTGACTCAATACCAAGAGTAACAGTTGACACCTATCAAAATTCAAAATATGGTCAACTAGCTACGTCACTTCAAAAAGCTACAGAAAACTAATAAATATGTGCACAGCAAACATGCTTAATAGAGCACATCCTACACAGCAATCCACAACACCTGCAGCTCAGAGTTCTCAACCTGCTAAACCCAGTATATGTGTATCAATGTTATCTCCCCACATATGAATTGACTTTAAAGAAACCCTCTATCTATATATTACAAGCATATGCCAATAAAACTTGCTATTTAATGAATTACTAGTATTTTTTGAAAATTGCACATTATACACTACAAGTTTTATAAGAAAAGATCAAGACATAGATTATATAGAAGCATTTTAATTTGAAGTAGGAATATATTTTTCTCTGACCATTTTGAGGACCGGGGAAAGTGATGGAAGTGACAATATTCATTAACTCTGGCCTATTTTAAAGGACCACCTTACAATAGAAATCATATCTGTTAAGAAACTCTGATATCACTCTAAAGCACCTTATGTTACACCAACTAAATCTGAATACCAATGTACGAGAGGAAGAACGTTGAATGTGTATATTTCAAAATTTAAGATTTAACTGTGCCCAGTTCTGCAGAGAAGGAGAACATCACTTAATGGTAAGAGAGTTACAGGCTTGTCACTTGCCAAAATCGTAATACATTAACTTAGCATTCGCACATGGATTTTCTAAGAAAAGTTTCTCCCCTGGCTGAACTGGCCTGTACTTGCCATATGATCCAAAACTACATGGAAGGAGCTAAAGGATATGATACTCATCCCACCACCCCTGCCCTCTGAGGACCTACCATGACCCTTCCAACTTAGAGCCTATGTGGTTCTAACAAATATGCAAGTCATTCTCCTTCTCACACAGCTCCTAAATGCTAACACCATAACATCTGGGCATTCCTTGAAGCAAAAATGTGAGGTGAAGGCCCAGGCTGCAGCAATCAGCAAGGTGAATTTTTCCCGGGATTGGAAGGAGTTGACACATACGTCAATCCTGCTTTTTATGCAGCTATATATTTAAAAATATAATATGGATTAACGTTTAAACATAAAACTTTACCTTCTGAAAGTGGAAAAACATGTTACTCTCTTGTAATCACTGACAATTTATTTCATAAGGACGAGTCTTTTGAGGGTTTAGAACACAAATCATGTTTTTGTAACTTAAAGAATATATATGCCTCCTGTTTAGTGGCTCAGTTATTGCCGTCATGACAAACATACTCACTTTCAGCTATGCAATCTGCAATTATTTTTGTCATGCTACAACAATCCATCACTTGATATCATGGAGTCATGATATCATGACTATAACATGGTATAGCATGACTATAGCATGATATCATGATTATAGCATGATATCAATGCTATAATCATAAAATACAGTCTATCTCCTCCATTGCATTTTAATCTTCTAGTAGCAGCATCTCAGAAGCCGAAAAGGAAAGATTAGACAGTAACAAAAATTTTTGAAAATTAAGGAGGAAAAGGATTCATTTGCAAGTCCACCTCTGTCTTTAATAAGAAAAAAACCAAAAACAAATCTACTAACTCATTTTACAAGGCCTTAAGGACTTTGTTCTCTCATAATTTAAGGACAAGAGTTTATGCAGATTAATTTTGATGTTGTTCTCTGTACAAAAGCAGGAGGAACGCAATCTATTAAGCAGGTCAGCTTATGAAGCCTAATGGCAAGCACACAGACAAAAAAGCCACGTCAGAAGATACGTGTTGTAAAAAATGCAGTAGGAACAGAATCAACAAGATGAAAGCAAACTAGAAGAAAAATATGAAAAAAAAAATCAAACAAAAGCCATCACAAACACTACTGCCTTTAACGTAAACGAACAGAAGGTTAGAAATTTCTTTTACCCTCAAATAGCTCAGTTACGTAACTCCAATTCACAGTGAAAAGTTCTTAACCTGCACTATATAAGTAAAAGTTAATCAACATTAGGTTTATCCAAATTGGTCTGTCTTCTGGGTAGAGAGCCCAAAATAGGAGCAGCCTGAATACTGATCCTGTTGTCCAGGTTGGAGCCATCTGAAGATCTGAAACCGTATTCATTAATAGTTACTTTGGAAACACTTACTAGTCTAATGAACTTCCATTAAAAAGGGGGATTATAAGCAAACCTATCAAGTTATTCTTCAGCTATCATGAGGAAGAATAATTTCTTTTGGAAGGCTGGAGACAAGAACATACATAGGCTGACATGCAGAAAATTGCTATTTGATGGCAAAAAGAACAAATTCTGAAAATAACAAGTCTTGAAAGGAACTTTCATGTCCTGTAATTTGCCAAAAAACCCCACGCTGAACAAGGCTTTCCCTCTACCCTCTATTTGCTTATAAAAATAAAATTAAAATAAACAAGTAATCTTCCTTAGTGGTAAGGTGCTTTGATCCTAAACATAAGGAAAGGCTTTTTACATTACTAGAAGAATGTACATTATCATTTCTTTAGATGAACTCACAGAAGGGGTGAAGGAGAACTGAAAGGTAAAGCTGGCATCTTGTTACCCGATCATATTTTGAAGTTACTTGAGTTTTTATGTCCCATTTGCTAACAAATTTGCAGATTCACAGATTATTTACACAAAAGATTCAATACTAATACAGATACGAAAGAGAAATTTTACCTGTTTTCATCTTTGCAGAACACTAAGAAGTCTTTGCTGCAGTCTTCACATTCAAAGCAAAAAGCACTACCATCTTGCACTTTTTTGAATGCTTGAGCTGCTGCATTTTCCCTTAGGGATTTCTCTGTGTTCCTTTGATGACCTCTTGAGTGAAAGAGAATACTAGAACTCATCTCTCTGTTTCTCAAGGCATACTCAGCACAGCCTTGCTGGACTTCAGCAATTTCACTCCTCCTCCGGAAACCACTTTCCTCTTCATCATCATAAGGGGTAAGGTTCTCTCTCTCCAACTGGTTCGCAGTATTTTGTTCTCTTATTTTAGGTCTCACTACTAGCTCAGATGAATTTCCTGAGGCGGTATTTCCATCAGTGACATTTGTTTCATCAGCAATTGCTATAGGTCTTCTGATTCCAACACCCACTATATTTCTTGTCTGTTGTGTTTCACAATTGGTGCTACTCAAGATGCTATTCAGTATTGCCTGATGTTCAGCAGAAATAAATATGCTGGTTAGACATGCCAAGTTTGATTCTACTCTAAAATATCTCATTAAAGGCATTGACCCTGCTACTTCACGTAATTTGCTACAAACATTGTAGTTAAGAGGGGACAAATGAGACTGTAAGTCAGTAAAAGACTCTACCCTTTCTTCTAACTCAGAAAACATGCTATCTAGTATTTTAGGAAATACATTTGGTTCTTTTCTTGCCAAAGAAAATTTGTCTTGAGCATCATCTTCCTTTTTGTCACTGCCATCTGGCTCAAAACAGTCAGTGTTTACAAAAGCAACTCCATTCTGACCATTCAAACAATTAGGCCCTCCAGACGCATATTCTGAAGGGTTTTCATAATTTTTGTGAGGATTCATAAAGTCCTCTGAGATTCTGTTGCCTTCTAGACCATAAGAGAACGGACAAATTGTGACTCACTCACTTCAAAATTTTGGCTCGCTACCTTTTGACGAACAGATTCTCCAGTTCCAGTAGTTACTAACAAAGGCTCATCCAACGAACTAGAAGAAGCTTCAACCAATGGACTGAAACCTACACAGAAAGCTGTAATAAAGAATGCATTGGAATAAACAAAACCAACAGAAATATTCTCATTTACAACAACTGCTCATGAAAAAGAAAGGATAGCTCATTAGGACTGGAGGGCAATTTGATAAAAAGAAACATTTACCAGAGATGCAGTCATTCTTCACTAATATATTTACATTCTCATTTATCTAAACTAAGCACATAGAAATAGACTTAAATGATACAATTTCAGCTCAGCCTGATGGCAAAAAAAAACCCCACAAGTATTAAAAGGAGCATGTTCATAAGCAGCATTTTTACATTGTTTATGTAAAAGGAAATCTTAAGATGAGAACAGAAAATCTGAAAAAACACTAGAAGATTTAAAAAGCTGCAATATTTCTTTCCATAAGTGAACAACTAGACTATCCATTCATTAACTGGCTAAATTCATATATTGCTACTATAAATTATATACTAATAGTACCATGTTTTGTACATGCAGCTATGAGTGCAACTCCTCATAAGAGAATAATAGCAGCAGAGATTAATGTGGAATTACAGTTAGTAGTTACCATCACTGCAAATTCAGTTCAGTTTTTCACTTGAATATCTCGTGCATAAGGGACAATAAATATCAAACCCAGCAGCAAAAGTTAAAGAAGGTATAAACATGTATATTGCTGCTACTACAAAATTAATGATTAGTTCAAGTAATTCGTAAACTCTTACCAAAGGCTATAGTCCAAACTGGTTTTGAACACATAATGGCTTGCATAACTTGAATACTTAAGGTTTTTAAGCAAATAGTAAGAGATTTGCAAACATAAGTACAAGACAAAAAAAAAACCACAAGACATGCATGGTCAATTGAATGGATTCCCTAGCATGTTATTTTAAAATCAGTAAAGGTAGGAGACCATGTAAAATGAGTGTTCTGAGGTTAAAAAAAAATTATCTAAATAGCTAATCCACGCCTTTCGCGGGTGAATTCATGGCACTGAACTCTTACAAGAACTGCGCCTCTCAGCACTAGGAGCCTGGCTTGCAGGAAGCAGCAATGCTGTAACACTACCTGTCAGCTAAATAAAATCTTCAAGCTCCTTTGCAAAACCGCTAACAGCTGAGCCTGGCAGGCAGGCCCCTCTGGACATAATCCAGTTCGCGTTTCTTGCTCAAGCATAGCCACCTACAGTAGGTTACCAAGGACCAAGTCCAGTCAGATTTTAATATTTCTGAGGATGTCTCCTTCCACCTATCTTCCACAGTTGCTTAGATGTATTTAAGATGAGAAGCCAATTGGCAAGGAAATATGCATCATACTTTAGGTAGTACCACTCCATCAAAAAATAAGTATCAACTGGGGAAAAACGTAACCTAGTTGAGGTAAGGGAAATAAATCAATTCAAAACATTTCCCAAAGAGAAGTTTGAAAAGCCGTAACACACACACACACAAAAAAAAAAAAATCAAAACTCAGATATAAAAGGTGAGGCATTTTGTTATTGGACTTGATACAGAAAATGAGTCACTCTTAGAATGCATATACAGAGCAACTCTATTAAGAACAAGACGACAATACACTCTAAACTGCGTATTTCTTGCGAGCCCTGAAACAACAGCATGCTCATCTCTGAGTAACTAAAACAAGAAAGGTGATAGCACTATAGAGACACAGCAGAAGATCTCCACGAGTGTCAGCACTGCCTTACAGGAAATAAACCTTTAGCTAGATGAAAGTGTAGAAAATGTATAATGCACAGACAACTGCAAAAACATTCCAGTTACAAAAAAATAAAACCACCCCAAGATGATCTATATCACATAACTCTCCAAGAGCAATGGCATATGTCAAACTTAAATTAACATTATGCTACTAAAAAAAAAAAAAAAAAAAGGAGAAAGCAGTTACAAAATAGTTTGTAAAGGAAGGAGGAAAAAATGCTACTCCAGAAGATCAGAGGCTGTATTAAACCTTTTTTTTCAGAAAAACTCATATACTCCAGTAGATGGGACTGTGTTTCTAATACAACCAGCCATTTTGTATTTCTCTATGAAATTATTATTCAGCTAATAGTAACAAGAGACATATTTGTGAAATACTAATGGTCAATTTCCATCAAAAAAAGAGAAGTGCTTTGATTATTTCTCTCTGAAATTATTATTCAGCTAATAGTAACAAGAATATTTGTGAAATACTAATGGACAATTTCCATCAAAAAAAGAGAAGTGCTTTGACAGGTATAAACAAATTAAAAGAGATACTTTCAAGATGTTTTATAGGCTTAAACTAATTTCCACAGTAACTACACTAAGGTTGATGAAGACATAACCACCTGGTCCATGACACAACAAAAATTTCACAGCATACTTTCAAATAGAAGGTTAGAATAGGTATTTACTTCCTATGATTTCTAATTTGAAGACAAAATAATTTAAATTATACAATATTATGGCTATCTAGTTAGTTAGAATGCATTAACTTATTCAGGAATTCACTTCTTCAGGCAAAATTAAACAGCCTAAGATAGAGTACACTTTAATTCACCTTCATAGTAAGTTTCATTCTATAAAGTCTATGAAATGTACTTTACACATGTTATTTAAGTGGTTACTCTCTTCCCACCGTGTTTCTCTATGTCCCTTTCCCCTCCATCCCCACATATCTCAGTTTGCAATTAAATGGCACATACACAAAGACATGCACTTACATAAAGAACTCTCGGTCTGAGCATCCTCCAATTCTGACAGTCTGTGGTTTTCATTGTGTTCATGACTGTCTTGGCTATTCAAAGATGGGCTAAAGCTGATACTGTCACCTCTTATTCCATATCTGCTACCTGTAGAATGCCGGTATTGTCTTTCTTGTTTGAACGAGGAAAATTTGCCAGCTTTTTGACCCATTGCTACATGAGATTGTAGAGGAAAGGAAAAGACAGAGAGACTGTGTTAGACAACAATATGTCTTTAATTTCCCTCTTCCCAACACTTTGCAAGGAATTTCCCATTTGAAGTCTTGAGCTTCAGTAACAATACAATTATTAAGAACCTGAAGTGCTCTGGACACATGTTATAAAAGTACATAACAGAATTCTCATCTACACTAAATAATATTGACAAACATCCATCTTGTCTTTATCTTAACATGTTTGTAGTATATAACAGAGACTTCCTAAAAAAAAAAAATTAAAAGTCAAGTCTAGATGTCACATGACTTTTTTGAATGCGATACACTTCTGCACATAGCTTTAACACAACACATATGTCAGCTTGCAAAAACACATTTTCAAGCGCTATAACGGAATAGCCTTCAGGTAATGCGGCACGATTCAGCCAGCCCTAAGTAGTTTATCTCTGTGACAGGAAAAGTACAATTAATGAAATCACATCTTTTAAAACCACCAAAGTCCCAAGCCCCAGGGAGAAGGCTTTATTCTTTACACTAGGTAGGATGTTCAGGCATGATCATACAAGGCAATTGCCCACATATGGCTCCTACTATTATAGCAGTATTTCATATTAATGGATCTTAATAATTTACCAAGAAAACACGGGATAAGTGGTACAAGGAAACTTGAGGAGCAGTGGGGGAAAGCTGTCAACACTGTAATGAAGAGATATTTTAATACAGCAGTAGTATTAGCTTAATTAGTATTAATCTAACACAAGCATTCAAGTCCAAAGGCTGTTGCTTGTATGAATGCAATTAGAAGTTCAGTATTTCAGACATTCAGTGGCTTTTTCATATTCCTCTAAGTAACTTTTCATCTTTACTAGACATGGAATTAACATAGTAGCTTTGCTATTCTTGAAAGTCAACAAACTGAAAAGGCAACATTAAAGTCCGGGAAGATAAAAGTTTGCAACCATTAACACACTGTTTTCTGAACTTCAGAAAAATAAGAAAGGTTTTTCTTCCCTGTCTGTAAAACTAATCTCTTTACTATCCTTAGAGTGAAAGTATCTATACACAAAGACACCATTTATTAGCAGCAGTTATTTTATGCAGCTTCAAGTAGTATGGCCCCTAGTAAGGCTGGTAGTTGCAGTATGTGGATAGCCTAAAAGATACAACTGCGCATATGTACTAACCGTCAAAGAGTCCAAGCGGGACTTTTTTTCCTTTGTTTTTTTAAACTAGCATCACTGTTGAAGTTGTCATTTGACTAAGATTGGCGTACAGGAAACTAACTCTGTTGCTGCCTACCTAACAAACCATGAAAAATAAAATGCAAGGAAAAAATGAAAAATTTTTCTTGGAGTTGCAGTCTCAGAAGTCACTGTGAAGTGACTGGAAGCAACTGAAGTTGCTTGGTCTTCTCCACAGGAAAAAAAAAATGACAGAAACGTGAGTAGGTAATGATAGTAGAAGATTCCAGGGCTCAGAAAAAATGCAAATTCCAGGAAAGGAAAAATAATCACTTTCTCTTTCAACCTGACATGGAAAAAAAATTAGAATTGGAGTAAACCAAACAAAATTACACTCACAATGGAACACCTGTCACAACAGTCTAAAATATTACTCATTTATTCCCAGGTGAATTGACAGAAACTGTGAAGATACCTAAAATTAAAAGGCAAATATGTACAACTCAATTGCTTAAAACTGCAGCATTTCAGCAAATTATGAGAGGCTTTTTATGTAATGCCATCAGCTTCACTTTTTGTTATCTTTAGCCACTTCTAAGAAACTATTTGCTACAAAGTGTTGTGTTATCTCTCCCCACACTACATCTTTGGCTCTAAATCTCCCTTAAAACACGTAATCCTAGTCGTGTATGCCTAGCGACTATGCTAAGGCACATGGAAAATAAGGAGATGACTGGTGACAGCCAACATGGTTTCACTAAGAGCAAATCCTGCCTGACTAATTTGGTGGCCTTCTATGAGGAGGTTACAGCATTGATGGATAGGGGAAGAGCAACTGACATCGTCTACCTGGATCTATCCAAAGCATTTGATAGTATCCCACACAACATCCTTGTCTCTAAACTGGAAAGACATGGTTTTGATGGATGGACCACTCGGTGGATAAGGAATTGGCTGGGTGGTCGCACTCAAAGAGTTGTGGTCAACGGTTCAATGTCCACGTGGAGGCCTGTGACGAGTGGTGTTCCTCAGGGGTCAGTACTGGGACCAGTGCTATTTAACATCTTTGTTGGAGACATGGACAGTGGGATTGAGTGCACCCTCAGCAAGTTTGCAGATGACACCAAGTTGTGTGGTGTTGTGGACATGCTGGAGGGAAGGGATGCCATCCAGAGGCACCTTGACAGGCTGGAGAGATGGACCTGTGAGAACCTCATGAAGTTCAACAAGGCCAAGTGCAAGGTCCTGCACATGGGTCAGGGCAATCCCAAGCACAAGTACAGGCTGGGTGGAGAATGGATTGAGAGCAGCCCTGAGGAAAAGGACTTGGGAGTGCTGGTGCATACGAAGCTCAACATGAGCCAGCAATGTGCACTGGCAGCCCAGAAAGCCAACCGTATCCTGGGCTGCATTAAAAGAAGCGTGGCCAGCAGGTGAAGGGACATGATTCTGCCCCTCTATTCTGCTCTTGTGATACCCCACCTGGAATATTGCTTTCAGCTCTGGAGTTCCCAACACAAGAAGGATATGGAGCTGCTGGAGCGGATCCAGAGGAGGGCCACAAAGATGATCAGAGGGCTAGAACGCCTCTGCTATGAAGACAGGCTCAGAGAGTTGGGGCTGTTCAGCCTGGAGAAGAGAAGGCTCCAGGGTGATATTATTGCAGTCTCCCAGTACTTAAAGGGGGCCAGGAAAGCTGGAGAGGGACTTTTTACAAGGGCATGTAGTGATAGGACAAGGGGCAATGGCTTTAAACTGAAAGAGGGCAGATTTAGATTAGATACAAGGAAGAAATTTTTTACTCAGAGGGCGGTGAGGCAGTGGAACAGGTTGCCCAGAGAAGTTGTAGCTGCCCCATCCCTGGAAGTGTTCAAGGCCAGGTTGGATGAGGCTTTGGGCAACCTGTTGTAGTGGAGGGTTTCCCTGCCCATGGCAAGGGGGTTGGAACTAGATGATCTTTATGGTCTCTTCCAACCCTAACCATTCTATGATTCCATATCTTCCTTCCACTCTTCTTCCCACATATGACATCTCTCCAACCACAGTCCAGTTCCATGAACACCGAAATCCAAACATGTCCATCACTAGCTGCCACATGGTGATACTGTTTATTTCTACAGACCTAGGATACAACTCAGTTAAACATTTGCAGAAAAAATTACCAGGTATTCGAGGCTTTTCCCCGCCCCCCCAGTTTCTCTAAGAAGCTCTAAGTAGTTTGATTATCTATAATATCCCTTGAAAATATTTTCAGGTATTTGTCCAAACCTGCCCATCTCACATTAAGCAACAGAAGCTAAAATGGTCAATTTCTTATTAACTATACCGTACTTAACTATACTCCTGCAGTTCTTGGAAAGGTGAAAACTCTACAATCTTTGCAAAAAAAAAAAAATATCTGCAACTAATGCAAGAAAAAGTGCACTGACAATTAATTTTCTTAGAAAGGATATTAACTTGACTAATTGTGCCAGGTTTGTGCGAGGGGGTTCTGGTGGTGGGAAAGGGGATTCACCCCCTGTACCTTCACAGGCTTCCGGACCGGGTCGGAGGGTCCCCTGGCCACCAGGTCGGACCCCGTCCCCTCAGGCTGGGGTAAGGCCATCAGCACCTCTGCGCATGTCCTATTTAGTTGGGAACAAAGGAGCCGGGGGTGCTTCGAGCTCGGGACCGCAGTGAGGAGAGGGGGGAGGCGGGGGCTGCTCCCTGCCCCACCCTCCCGCCTCCCGGGGGCGGCTGCCCGCGTTGGGCCGGCAGCACACAGCTGGAGATGGCCGCAGCGGTGCCGCTAGGGGAGCTTGGGCATGCCCCGCTCCTGGGGTGCTGCTGGGCCGAGTTCGTCTGGAGAGGACTGAGATCCAAGAGAAGAAAAAAGTCAGTGCAGATGGAGCGGAAGGAGGCGCCAGAGGGGGGATTGCCCTGCAGCCCATGGTGAGATGGCAGCGGCCCCCCCTGCAGCCATGAGAGACACGGCAGAAGAGACCCACTCGCAGCCCGTGGAGAAGCCCACGCTGGAGCAGAGATGCCTGAGCCTGAGAGAGGTCGTGGGGAATGGGACACACGACAAAAGTAGAGACACATCTAGAGTTCATGAGACGACCCACACCAGAGCAAGTGGCAACTCCCTAAGAATCTGTGACTGTGGTAAGAACCTGCACTGGAGCAATCCGATGGGCAAGGATTGCATCCTGCGGGTAGGACTCATGCTGAGAAGTCTGGATTTTTTCTTGTGAGTAGGGGATCCACTAGAGCAAGGGAAAATGGTGTAAGGACTCCTCCTCCTTTAGGAAAAGGAGCAGCAGTAATGACATGGGATGAACTGACCTGCACCCCCCCATTCCCTGTCCCCCTGCACCACACTGGGGGAGGAGGTAGAGCCAGGAAGAGAGGAAAGGTGGAAAGGCGGGGAAGGTGTTGTTTTTAAGATCTGGCTTTGTTTTCTCTCTATTCTCTCAAGAAACTGTTAATAAATGCAATCATTTTGTTCCCAACCCAAGTCTGTTCTGCCCAGGGCCATGGTTGGTGGGTGCTCCTTCTCTGTTCTTGTCTCAACCCTCAGCACAGGGCAGCACAGCAACAGAGAAATTTGCCCTCAAACATGGTAATACAAGTGGCTGAAACAAACAAACAAACAAATACAACATAAGTGCCTATTTCTTAATTTTAATTTGTTCTCTGAAACATCATTATTGTTCAAAAGCAGATGTCCACTCAAGAGAGTCAAACTCCATACATGCAAATGTTATATTTTTCAAGTTGATGTTCACAGCATGCAAAACCTAAAGGCTTAAAGAGCTGGGTGCAATGCACTACAT